GGAGTGCCTCAAATGTTTAGAATAATAAAATAAAACAAATATCGTCAACTAAAAATTTTGCACGTCATAGCTAACTAGACATTACTTTAAATTAAAAAAAAAAAAACAAAAAATTATAAAGCATAATATAATTTTACGCTTAAAATGATGAAAATTTTCTTGTGGCCGCCTGAGAGCAACCTGTAAATCTGGCGTGACAGTGAACGTGTTAATAAGTAAATGTTGTTCAAATTATAAAATTTCGGGATAAAAAACATAAAATTAAAAAAGTTGGTGTTTAAATCGCTTGGTTGCCTCGACTCACGTTTCATCCTTATCTTTTATTCGCTGTCCTTGTCTTCGTTCGGCAAACTACAAAGCCAGGCGCGAGGTTCGAAAACAGAGTCCCTGACTCTACAATTGTCATGTTTAGGTTCCTTGCTGACTGACAGTTGTAGAGACATTACTGTAGTCACTGAACAGCGACGGCGGTCACGACCGGGGTATGACGGATGGGATTGATCAACGTCGTCGCTGCCGAAATGGATCCAGTGAAGACTCGTGGACCATTGCAGCGACGGTGAAGAAGCAAGCCACTGCCGGGCACGATTTCGACATCATGCGAATAGTGAGGTTGCTGCCACTATCGTATAATTGTGTTATGCCGTCAGGCCAATAATGATGTTCAGCCGCTATCGGATGACGGTGGATGCAAGGTCACGGCAGTAGTGATGGTATAGCCGCGGCAGTGAACAGTATTGCTACTGTATGGTGAAGAAATTGGATTATCAGAACATCAGCTGAAGCTCGAGATCATCAATGATACTATTATACTTCGATATTATACATTGCATCGTAGTTGCAAGACTGCTGCAACGCGAACGGGAAAATCAACACTCAGCGTACAACAATGTAAGTACGTGCTGAAATACCGAGCGACAGATGATTCACTCAGAAAAGGGGAGTATCGTCGGTTAACGAATATTTTGGTTGTTAAGGAAACCTCTTTCGAAACTCAGGGTAAATACCATAACTCCCATTGAATACTTAGGCATGGTTATGATTCTTTTGTTATAGAAAGCAGCGTAAAAGAGCAGGCGAACTGGCCGGGGCCATGTGCTTGAGGACAAACGTAACTGCAAGATGGCCGAGTGTAAGAAAAATCCAAGGCGCCTTTGTCCAGGGTATGCGAACGGCCGACCTGGATGTTTACTGTAAGACGAGCCGGGCGATATCGGGCCCGAACAGCGCAACGCCGCGGCCGTCATAAATCGACCTCCAAGGCTTTTAGAAAATGCGTCGGTAATGACGAGAAGAAAGGACTTTCCTCGCCGGAAAGCCAGTCTTGCTTGGCAAGTCAATGAATCCAGCGATCTAGGTATACTTTACTAAAGCATATGCAAGACTAAGGAATTACAGGGCTTAAAATAACTGATGTTAAAATAACAAATAAAATTTATACAAACGTCGGAATGACGGCAAAAAACCATTTCTTTAAGTCTTATAAAAATAGCGGTGCAAAGTCAAATTTTTTTGACAGCGATCGGTAACCGAGAAGTCACGCGTACGCGTCGTTCACGATAGCACGCGGGTGAATCTCTGTTCGCCCGTTCCTAAGCGCGGGCTCTACGGGCGCTGTGATTGGCCAGTGTTTTTCGTTAATAATTCGAAAACGAAGCTTCAAACTACATTTTGGAAAAGGAAAAAGTTGTTTAGAGTCACCCCAGCAACCCTCCATTTCCGGATCTTCGAAGAGTTACGGGACACCCTGTATGCTTCTCCGGCCGTTAGGACCGTGTAAGCCGTGGGGTGCGGGTGCAGCCTGCGCTCATCCTTGTCTAGGGCCCCCTGCGGCTCGGGTCCCGCGGTCGTTGTCTAGGCGCGTCGCACAGCGTCTTACGTATATTTCGTTAGAGTTTAAACACCCTGTACGTTCTTTATTTTACTTCATCCTACATATGTTTATACTTACCGCTTAGCTTAAGTAAATAACCTCAAAATTTCTCTGTACCTTCCGTATACAATGACGCATACGATCCTTGAACTTGTTACTCATCAACCCCGAATCATACGCTCGAATCCGTTACTCATCAACCCCGAGTCATACGCCTGCATCTGTTACTTATCAACTCCTTTTCTCACTCCTACTACATACCTCTAAAATCGGACCTCCGAATTTTCTTTAAGGAGGTATGCTCATTGTCAGTTTGAAAGTGAAAAAAACCCTGATATTTGCGAATTTGTGTAAGAGTAAAGAATTACAAGGGCTTAGAATAACTGATTTTTAAAATGACGTTGGTTCGCTGGTCGATGGTTGGGTACAGTAATGTGTGGGCCGCTGCCCTTTTCCCCGTTTTTATACGCTTCTTCGGCCGTTAGGGCCCTGCAAGCCGTGGGGGGGGGGTGCAGCCTGCGCTGCTACTTGTCTAGGGCCCCCTGCGGCTCGGGTTCCGCGGTCGTTGCCTAGGCGCATCGCACAACGCCTTACATTTGTTTTGAAGAAATTTGTAAATTTTTTGCGATACAACTTGCAGTACCATTTGAAAGATTATATTTCCAAGCAACTATCATAATTTTTTCATTAAAAAATATTAATAATTGTCAAAGATATGGTCTCTTTCCTGAATGTTCTTTTTTCAAAGCGTTTTGCGGCGACCACTGCTGCTCGTATCTGGATTATTTGAATTCAATAATTCGAAAAAATTTAGTTTTTATATTAAATTATCTAGTCTTTGAACAAAGCGCGTTTGAAAAAATTCATTTGCAACAAAATGGCAGCCGTTTGAGGTCAAGGTATCAGTTTTTAGTATAAAAACCGTTTAATTTTCGTCAATTAAAAAAAAACTAGCCATCGAAATAAAAAATCCTTCGTTCAGGGACTAGCTTCCTATCGCTACAATAGGTCTGCAAAGGGTCTAAACGTATAAACATGGTAAAAGTGCCCCTAAACCAAGTGAAACGTGTGATGCGTCAATTGAAAGAGCTTCCTAGGAAAACCATTTCGACAAAGTTTGGGCCCTCTACCCCTATTATTAGGGTAGTTATCGATCTAAACATTATTTTC